ATTGCTTCATTATGACAGAACCACTAAGAATCCGAGACGTTCCGACTATCTGATATTTTGACCTTGGGGTGCGTTTATTCGATCGAAGACTAGCAAAGTACTATATATACGAATCGCGTAGCAACATGGTTTGCCCCCCCCCCACCCAAGNCGTATGAAGAAATGCACGAACTATCAGTTAGAGTGTCTCGCGCCTTCCCAGTTGGGGTCCAAAGGACTGCAACTGGTTGGTTCGAGGCACTGAAGGATATGGCAGAGAACCGACAGCAGTGGCATTCTTGTTACCAGGCCAGAATGTTTGAAACAGTATGTATGCATAGTTGGATTTTGCACTCTGTGCGTTGATGACAGAGGTCACATTCGCCCTAACTCTCTCAAGATAAGTCCAATCACTGGCTATCTTACACATTACCACTAAATTTGTACGTATTGCGTGTGACAGCGATCAGTGAAGTTTGCTTCAGTGTATTTCGTGGTACGATGCAAATGATGATGGCTATCGGATTTTATCACTGAACAGCAGGTCTTCGTGACTAAAGGGCTTTCCTCACATTACGGTGTGTAATAAAAAACAAGGTGCCCACGACAGTCAAGAGTGAAACCTGACGTTCGCATTTTAAACCGCATTATGCAAACTATTTACACGAATCCATCTCCTCTGCTGTAAAAACAAAAAAGATAGAAACCATAGTTATCCTTTTTCTCTTGTTGTTGAGGGGACGTATTTCCTCAAGCCGACCAGAAAGAGAACAGTCTTGACAATGCCCCTTCAAGCTTATGCTTTTTCAATCTCATCCTCGACGAAGTCATTAAAAAATCACTCAGGGATTCGAGATTATTGAATTTTCACCTTCACACTACGAAACTTCAATAAAAGAGTACACTAAACATGTGGCCGATATTATATCAACACTACATAACCGACTATTATGTAAGTGACAATATCTATCGGTTTCGATGGCTTTATTAAACAGTAAACGCTTGTCACCGTATCTAATTGAGTCTTCGGTCAACCCTCTAAATGCATGTTACTGCTCGAGCCAGTGGATTGCATATTACAACTGTTCGGTATATTCATCACTCTATCCTAGCTTAACCGGATTGCAACGGAAACAGATCACAAACCACCATGATGTTATTTACGCAAATAGCCATACACAAAAAGAACTGAAGACGGAGAATGAAATTCAAAGGAATTGGATGTCTTCAGTAACCACAAAATCATTCAGAAATAGAGAAAAAGTGAGCTTACCTGCTCATTTGTTGTGCGGCCCTTAGAAACGAGAAACACATGGAACCCCGTTAGTCCAAGTACAGGTAGCAGGAGTAAACCAACCATGATGAGAATAACAATACTGTTGAGCGGTTAAGGGGTGGGTATCGCGTAGGGGTTGACAACAGGTGCATGTGTAAATTTTGTTTTAAAAAACACTGACTATGCATGTTCATTATCATAATCGTAGGGAAACAATGCATCGAACTTCATGGATTATCACTAAACTCACAATTTGAACAAAGTTCGAGTGTTTAAGGTGGATGAAGAGTGAGAGAGCAAGAAAAGTGAACAATTATGGTTAGCATACAGACTAAATAGTCGAACTGTGCATACACACCTCAAGCATTCCAAAAAGATAAGAAGTGTCAACACGAACACCACTGCTGTCAGTTCACTGCCATGTCCTCTAGTGTCTCCAATCAACCTATTACGAAGTACTTGGGACCCAACGGCCCGTGTTGACCTCTATGTAATATTTTCTAACTCAGGCGCGGTGTGTTGGACTTCTAGCAGGAATGTACGTGTCCTAACCAGCTAATTCCTTGTGATAACGGAAATTCCGCCGGACATGAGACTTACCTAGGTTACTTGTCAGTTCGCTTCGTCTTATATGAGCCGAACTACACAAACATGGATGGTCGAAGATTTCCGCTCGATGGATGTCTTCCACATCCACATGCTCTGGTTCGCACGAGCGTAAAGTGGAACTGATTGCACTGTGGCACAGTATATGCGATATTTTCATTCCAAAGGACTGCTACATCGGCGCCATGGGCTTCGGTGTTTCGTACGCAGCTACAGCCTTAGATAGGCGTGTAATTACCTACTTAACTGGGCTACTGTAATTAGTGTTTCAGCAACCATCACCCCTCAGTTCGCTATTTTATGTACGGCTAAAAACGCCACTCCCCACGAGACTGTTTTCCTGCAGCTGTAAATCGCCTACCGGCCCACCTAGTTGATGAACCCGGACCCATTCCTGATGAGCCGTCCGATAAGACCCAATAAATA